AGTGCCCAGTTGCTCGGACTGGAGGAGAGCGGGGTAACATGGTTGAGTGGAGAGAGTACACCTGGCCAGGCTAGCGGGTGGCTCAGCAGAGAGGCAGAGGGCTGAGTGTGCAGTCTGGTTGAGGCTGGGGCTTTTTAAGGGTATGGGTCTTTCTTCCCACATCTTCTCCTCCTGAAACAAAAGACTTTTTGGATGTAAATATGAAAAATTCCTATCTGAGTTTTCCACCTGAAGTTATCAGACAGGAGGAAGCCTGGCTGGCGCCGCCCTGGTGGTTAGAGGAAGGATGGGCAGGACCCCTGGAGGATCAGGATCCTGAGCAGGATATTTGAAATGCGGATACTGGGCTGCACCTGGAAGATTATCAGGCAGAAGGGGCAGGGACCCCCACCTGGCAGGTTATCGGGTAGAAGGGGCAGGGCAGGATGCAAATACTGGGCTGCCCCTGGAAGGTTATTGGGATGACTTTGAGATGCATATGCTGGACCTAGATGTCAACTGTTTAGGCCTTTGTCACATACATATAAGCTCATATCTGACTTCCTACCTAACAAGAATAGTGGTTCCTAAATATTTCATGTGATATAAGCTTGATATTTTTCATAGTAAATAAAAGTTGGAAAAGTTAATACAGATTTTATTGTGGAATTCCTTTTCAGATTGGAAACTTACTGCCAATATGTTACTCAAAAAGAAAATAAATATATGCTTTACAAACATTTAGTTCTGAATTTTAATTATATAGTTCACACAGACCTAATGATCCTTCATTATTTATTTCTATTATCTGGGCTGAATAATTTAATGCACTTAAGTTTAGTTAATATAAAATAATTGATGAATATAATATATATATAATATATTAAAGTCAAACTGAGCAGAATTTTACCTTCAAATAATTTATCTCATTAATGTAAGATGTGACAGATTTTTCTTAACTCTTTTGATAGCATATTATGTAAATGTCTTTAAAGTAAGTTAAACTTAATGCACGTTTTCAATTACTATACTTTCAAAATATGCAGCTGTTTCAAATAAGTGACACTTATCAACATTTGCAGAAATCACTGCAGACTAAAAAGAAAGCTTTCTTTTATTTATTTTTTAACTTTTATTTAATAAATATAAATTTCCAAAGTACAGTTTATGGATTACAATGGCTTTTTCCCCCCCATAACTTCCCCTCCCACCCGCAACCCTCCCATCTCCAGAAACAAGAAGCTATGAAGAATAGAATCTGGAGACAGGCCTATAAGATGAGATGTAAGGGTCGAGAAAAGAATATTAAACTTTTATAAAAACTCTGAAACCACATGTTAACTGGAAGAAAAGGGAGTAATTCAGATATTTCCAATGAGGACAAAGAACAGCTATGATGAACTAAATAACTATCAATACAACCAGGACATTTACTTTATACGAGGACCTAAAGATTCTCTAAATTCATTTTCTTCATTCCTTCACTCCTATTGCTTAGGTTTAACTAATAGCTAAAATTAGAGAAAAAAAAAATTTCTGAAATCAAACTTCAAAGGGAAAGATACGTTTATACCTTCTTTCAGCTATCTGATCAACACAATTATAAGGGTTTTTTTTTATAATATTCAACTATCACTAGAATTTCAATGGCATCCAATAGAAAACTTATTTCCCTCACGTGAAAAATGCATCCTCTTTCCATAGCTTCAATTGACACCAAAGAGGAGAAACTTCAATGAAAATAAAGAGAAAGAATTTTATAGTTGACCTAACTTTACTGCCAGGAACACTGAAAATTGCTGTTAAATATGAGCATAATTAAGGTTACTTCCAAAAGTGTGTGTGTAATCTTAACCAAAAGAGCACAAACATTGAGGAAAACATTCATTCTTCCAATATTTATCTAAACTTTTATTCGTGTCTTGAAAGAATGCATTATTAAATTTCTATGCAGAGTAGATTTTCATGACTTGGCAGTGCTATAAAAATTTTTAAAAGCCTTAACTCTTTTGTTCAGATGTTTACTATCATTAGGTGGACCTGTATAATCACAGTAACATTGCACTATTGTCAGCACAAAAATCAGAGAAAGATAAAGTGTAATAAAATAAAATAAAGAATCTATAGTTTATAAATACAGGAAATGCTCATTAAAATATGAAAGGTCCCATTAAGAATACAGGGGTAAGTCTATTGATATGTTTCTATAAAATATACTTTGAAGTGGGTGCATATGTCTAGTTATTTGACTCAGTAATTTGACTAGTTTTCAGAAAATAATGATGTTAATAATGAAACTATCAACTATTTTGCAAACGATCTATTGCTTCTATCTTAGCACGCATTGAAGCATATAGTTTGAATAATGGTTATAATTGTAGTAAGTGTTATCTTCTGAGGACATCGATGCCAAATTTAAGTAAATAAGTTTAAGAAGTATGTCTATAAACTGTTCTCTGATATCTGAATATATTCATGATTTGTATGGTGGTTTTCTCTTAAATTTTTTTGGGTAACTTTTTTCATGCATGAAATTGAGTTTTAATTTTCTGTAATCCATAGCCTGCCATTAATCAATTATAAATCAAATATATATATATTTTTAATTTTTGACAGGCAGAGTGGACAGTGAGAGAGAGACAGAGAGAAAGGTCTCCCTTTGCCATTGGTTCACCCTCTAATGGCTGCTGCGGCCAGTGCGCTGCGGCCGGCGCACCGCGCTGATCCGAAGCCAGGAGCCGGGTGCTTTTCCTGGTCTCCCATGCGGGTGCAGGGCCCAAACACTTGGGGCATCCTCCACTGCACTCCCAGGCCATAGCAGAGAGCTGGCCTGGAAGAGGGGCAACCGGGACAGAATCCGGCGCCCCGACCGGGACTACAACCCGGTGTACTGGCCCCGCAGGCGGACAATTAGCTTATTGAGCCACGGCACCAGACCCAAATATTATTATTAATCAAATATTTATCAATTTTGGTGATTCTGAAGAATAGATGCACTGTTATTTTCACAACTATGTAATTACTCCTAGAGGAAACAAAATGGGAAATCTCAGAACAGAGATTTTTAGTTTCCTTTTTTAAAAAAATGTCATTTTTAAAGTTTTTCTTTATTTATTTGAAAGGCAATGTGTGTGTGTGTGAGAGAGAGAGAGAGAGGGAGAGAGAGAGAGAGAAACTTCAATCCACTGGTTTACTCCCCAAATGTCCAAATGACTGCAACAGCCAGCCCTGAGGCAGACTGAAGCTGGGAGCCAAGATTCCATCAGGACTCCCAGATGAGTGGCAGAAATTCAAATATGTCAACCATCATCAGGTGTCTCTCATTCACCTTAGTAAGAAGCTAGGTCAGAAACAGAGGTGGGACTCTATTCCAGGTACTCTAAGAGGGAATGGAGGTACCCGAAATGCAATTTACCTTCTGCACAATAATGTCAGCCCTGGAATTTGGGTTTAAAATAGTCACTTACCAGGTGTTTCCAGAACACATGGGTAGGGTGATTCATTTTGAAAAATGGTAGACTATTTAGGGGACCCAAAGAACTCTACTAAGAGACTATTGGAACTCATAGAAGATTTTGGCAAAGTAGCAGGATATAAAATCAATGCACAAAAATCAACAGCCTTTGTATACACAGACAATGCCATGGCTGAGGAAGAACTTCTAAGATCAATCCCATTCACAATAGCTACAAAAACAATCAAATACCTTGGAATAAACTTAACCAAGGATGTTAAAGATCTCTACGATGAAAATTACAAAACCTTAAAGAAAGAAATAGAAGAGGATACCAAGAAATGGAAACATCTTCCATGCTCATGGATTGGAAGAATCAATATCATCAAAATGTCCATTCTCCCAAAAGCAATTTATAGATTCAATGCAATACCAATCAAGATACCGAAGACCTTCTTCTCAGATCTGGAAAAAATGATGCTGAAATTTATATGGAGACACAGGAGACCTCGAATAGCTAAAGCAATCTTGTACAACAAAAACAAAGCCAGAGGCATCACAATACCAGATTTCAGGACATACTACAGGGCAGTTGTAATCAAAACAGCATGGTACTGGTACAGAAACAGATGGATAGACCAATGGAACAGAATTGAAACACCAGAAATCAACCCAAACATCTACAGCCAACTCATAGTTGATCAAGGATCCAAAACCAATCCCTGGAGTAAGGACAGTCTATTCAATAAATGGTGCTGGGAAAACTGGATTTCCACATGCAGAACCATGAATCAAGACCCCTACCTTTCACCTTACACAAAAATTCACTCAACATGGATTAAAGACTTAAATCTACAACCAGACACCATAAAATTATTAGAGAGCATTGGAAAAACCCTGCAAGATATAGGTACTGGCAAAGACTTCTTGGAAAAGACCCCAGAGGCACACAGGCAGTCAAAGCCAAAATCAACTATTGGGATGGCATCAAATTGAGAAGTTTCTGTACTGCAAAAGAAACAGTCAGGAAAGTGAAGAGACAACCGACAGAATGGGAAAATATATTTGCAAACTATGCAACTGATAAGGTGTTGATAACCAGAATCTACAAAGAAATCAAGAAATTCCACAAAAACAAAACAAACAACCCACTTAAGATATGGGCCAAGGACCTCAATAGACATTTTTCAAAAGAGGAAATCCAAATGGCCAACAGACACATGAAAAAATGTTCAAGATCACTAGCCATCAGGGAAATGCAAATCAAAACCACAATGAGGTTCCACCTCACCCCAGTTAGAATGGCTTACATTCAGAAATCTACCAACAATAGATGCTGGCGAGGATGTGGGGAAAAAGGGACACTAACCCACTGTTGGTGGGAATGCAAACTGGTTAAGCCACTATGGAAGTCAGTCTGGAGATTCCTCAGAAACCTGAAGATAACCCTACCATTCAACCCAGCCATCCCACTCCTTGGAATTTACCCAACGGAAATGAAATTGGCAAACAAAAAAGCGGTCTGCACATTAATGTTTATTGCAGCTCAATTCACAATAGCTAAGACCTGGAACCAACCCAAATGCCCATCAACAGTAGACTGGATAAAGAAATTATGGGACATGTACTCTATAGAATACTATACAGCAGTCAAAAACAACGAAACCCAGTCATTTGCAACAAGATGGAGGAATTTGGAAAACATCCTGCTGAGTGAATTAAGCCAGTCCCAAAGGGACAAATATCATATGTTCTCCCTGATCGGTGACAACTAACTGAGCACCAAAGGGGAAACTTGTTGAAGTGAAATGGACACTGTGAGAAACAGTGACTTGATCAGCTCTTGTCCTGACGGTTGATGTACAATGTAATACTTTATCCATTTTAGTATTTTTTTTTCTAGTACCATTGGTTGAACTCTGTAATTAACACACAATTACTCTAAGGTGTTTAAATTTTAACTGAAAAGTGATCCCTGTTAGGAATTTGGAAAACATTATGTTGAGTGAAATAAGCCAATCCCAAAGGGACAAATACCACTCGTTCTCCTTGATAGGTGACAACTAACTGAGCACCAAAAAGGAAACCTGTTAAAGTGAAATGAACACTATGAGAAACGGTGACTTGATCAGCCCTCACCCTGACTGTTGATGAGCAGCTTAATATGTTATCCCTGTTAGTATTTTTTTTGTTTGTTCTACTTAATACTTTTGGTTGAATACTGTAATCAATACACAGTTCTTCTTAAGTGCTGAAACTTAACTGAAAAGTGTTTGCTGTTAAATATAAGAGTGGGAATAAGGGAGGGAAGAGATGTGCAATTCGGGACATGCTCAAGCTGACTTACCTCAAACGGTAGAGTTAGAAACATACCAGGGGATTCGAATTCAGTCCCATCGAGGTGGCATGTACCAATGCCATCTCATTAGTCCCAGTGATCAATTTCTGTTCACAATTGATCGTAATGATAGGACTAAGAACCAAAGGGATCACAAAAACAAGAACAGTGTCTGCAAATACTAGCTGATAGAATCAAAAAGGGAGAGAATGATCCAACATGGGAAGTGAGATACACAGCAAACCCATAGAATGGCAGATGTCCTAAACAGCACTCTGGCCTCAGAATCAGCCCTTAAGGCATGCGGATCCAGCTGAAATGCCCATGAGAGTATTTCAGGCATGGAAAGCCAAGACACTCTGGGGGAAAAAAAAGAAAATCTAAATGAAAGTGTGGGGAGCAACTCGGACTATACTGTTACTGGAATTAAGACTTATTCTATGCATCTGCTCTCCCACAATATGGTGCTGAGAAGGGAGAAACAGCTTCTACACCGCTGCCTCCAGTTCAACCAATAAACTGCAGGACCTGCTCCTGATTGGAGGAGAGCAGCATACTCGGCGTGTGGGTAGCAGAGTTGGGATTGGTGGAAAAGGACTATAAAGGAGGAGAGAGACAACATGCACCAGGAACATCTAAGGGGAACACCTGAGGAACATCTGAGCAGCCCCCGAGAGAGCCGACCGGCGGTGTGCCACTCCCCCGCGGAAGTGGGGAATGTGGCTAGGGGAAACCGCCCTTCCACGGAGGTGGAAGGGTCGGTAGCCAACCCAGGAAGAACCAGCAGCAAACCTGGGGAGGGCCGAGCAGACAGAAGAACAACGCAGGGTCCTGTGTCGTTCCTCCACGAAGACGGGGAGCGACATAATGGTGCCGTGACTCGGATATGAAGCCTAGGCAGGGTTTAGTGTCGTTCCTCCACGAAGAGGGGGAGCGACATAATGGTGCCGTGACTCGGATAGGAAACCTAGGAGGGAAGAAACGGGAAGAAGTGGGAAAATACCGGAGAGAGAGACTAGCAAAGAGCCTAGGGAAAAGCCCGACGGAAAAGGTGCCGGAAGAAGCTATCGAAAGCCTAGGCATAGACTTGGATATGGACTGTGGGAAAGAAGTTAGGATTGAAAGCGAAAGTGAAAGCTTTCATAGACTCGGATGCGGACTATGGCGGGGAAGCTAGGAGATTGAAAGCGAAAGTGAAACCTGGAGGAGGCTTGGACTTGGATAAGGACTGTGGGAAAGAAGTTAGGATTTAAAGTGAAAGCAAGAAGAAACTTAGACTCAGATACGGACTGCAGGTTGAAAGTGAAAGTGAAACCTATAAGAAACTTAGACTTGGATACGGACTGTGGGGAGAGGCCAGGAGAAATGAGGGAGGAATATTGTTGGAAGAAAACTTAGGGAAACATACCGGGTAGAGAAAAATGTTAGGGAGGATGAAGCCGCGAGTGCAGGCTGAGGCGGAGACGGAAGCCATCTTGGAATTCTTCAAGTCAGCCCGGGGAGCAAAAGGCGAAAATCTGGAACCAGAGGCAGAGACGTGGGCCGCCAGGTTGGAATTCGCCAGGTTAGTCCGGGGAACTTGGACTGAATACCGGTGGTGACGGAAACATGAGCTGTGCTGTGTGACTCGTGGAAGCCGCCGCGTGCAGAGAGAGCGCGTGGGGCACAAGTAGATAGGGAACCCGGGGCTAGCGCGAGGCCGTGGTGTGGACGCGAAGGGGCGCAGAGACCGTGGAGTGCGGCGCAAAGCCGGGAAGCCGCCACGGGGCCTCGAGGCACCGAGAAGCAGCCTCGGGGCGGGCGCTGGCGGGGCGAGGCGCCGGGAAGCCGCGCAGAGCCCCGAAGCTGCCGCGGGGCGAGGTGCCGAGAAGCAGCCTCGGGGCAGGCGCCAGGAAGCCGCAGGGATAAGAGAAACAGAAGTTTAGAAGTAAAATGAGAGAAATAGGAATGCTGGCAGATGGAAGTAAAATGGGAGAAATAGGAATGCCCGGAGATAGAGAAATAGAGATAAATAAGGCCTCCCCACAACACGGCAATGAGAGAGCTTGGATTTGGTCTGCCTGATTAGGGAGGTGGTGAGCACCTGCGGGCGGCTAGCAGCTTATGCGCTGCAGGTCACCGAAGACAGGCACGAATTAACATCAATAAGTCTCCCCACAATACCGCAATGAGAAGGCTTGGATTCGGTCTGCCTGATTAGTAAGGCGGTAAGCACCAGCAGTTGGCTCGACCAGAGTATGAGCTGCAGGTCACCGAAGATAGGTACGAATCCACACCAATAAGTCTCCCCACAATACGGCAATGAGAAGGCTTGGATTCGGTTTGCCTGATAGGGCTTGTAAGCACCTGCAGGCAGTTCTAGCAGAGTAGAGCATGCGCTGCAGGGCACCGAACACAGGCACGCATCAGCGCCTAAAAACCTCCTCACAACATGGCGAAGAGAGGACCCGGATTCGGTTTGCCTGATTGATAGGACTTGTAAGCACCTGTGGGCAACTCTAGCAAGTAGAGCAGAGTGTGTGCTGCGGGGCACCGAAGACAGGCGCGTATCAACGCCAAAAATAAAAAGAAAGGGGGATCTGTGGGGAGCAACTCGGACTATACTGTTACTGGAATTAAGACTTATTCTATGCATCTGCTCTCCCACAATATGGTGCTGAGAAGGGAGAAACAGCTTCTACACAGCTGCCTCCAGTTCAACCAATAAACTGCAGGACCTGCTCCTGATTGGAGGAGAGCAGCATACTCGGCGTGTGGGTAGCAGAGTTGGGATTGGTGGAAAAGGACTATAAAGGAGGAGAGAGACAATATGCACCAGGAACATCTAAGGGGAACACCTGAGGAACATCTGAGCAGCCCCCGAGAGAGCCGACCGGCGGTGTGCCACTCCCCCGCGGAAGTGGGGAATGTGGCTAGGGGGAACCGCCCTTCCACGGAGGTGGAAGGGTCGGTAGCCAACCTGGGAAGAACCAGCAGCAAACCCGGGGAGGGCCGAGCAGATAAAAGAACAGCGCAGGGTCCTGTGTCGTTCCTCCACGAAGACGGGGAGCGACATGAAAGATCTCCACGAGTGAGATCCCAGTGGAAAGAATGGGTCATCAAAGAAGGAGGTACCTTTCTCTGAAGGGAAGAGAGAACTTCCACTTTGACCATGGCCTTGTCTAAATATGATCAGAGTCAGTGAACTCAGGGGGCTTCCATAGCCTTGGCAGCTCATGACAAGAGCCTAGGGTGATTACTGATGCCATAAACAAGAGTGTCAATTTGTTAAGTCAACAACAGGAGTCACTGTGCACTTACTCCTCATGTAGGATCTTTGTCCTTAGTGTGCTGTACATTGAGATTTAATGCTATAACTAGTACTGAAACAGTATTTTTCACTTTCTGTTTCTGTGTGGGAGCAAACTGTTGAAATCTTTACTTAATGTATGCTAAACTGATCTTCTGTATATAAAGAGAATCGAAAATGAATCTTGATGTGAATGGAAGGGAGAGGGAGTGGGAAAGGGGAGGGTTGTGGGTGGGAGGGACGTTATGGGGGGGAAGCCATTGTAATCCATACTCTGTACTTTGGAAATTTATATTCATTAAATAAAAGTTAAAAAAAAAAGAAAAATGGTAGACTAAGTAGTCTTCAGCCATTTAACTGAACATTTGATAAAGACGGGCAATTCGAAATTTACCTGGTTATGAATTAAAAATTTGAGAGGCCAAGATGAGGGAAAGAAAGAAATTCAGAAGTAAATTCAGTGTGTGCCACTGGTTTTATCTCTCAAATATATATCAAAGTTGTGGCAAAGGGGTTGAAGAATTGAACATATGTTCAACAATGTTGTGAGGTTCCAATAAACAAAATTGGAGTCCAGATTTTATCAGAAACAAGGCCCTGAGGACTATCAAATATGTTGAGCCATGGTCCAAACAGGCTACATTTTAAGAAGAAGGAAAAAGTGGTAGTAGATTTATTCCAATAAAGACAAAACTTGCATTTGAATCATTTCATTACGTAATTGGATTAGAGAGAATACATGCCAAACAAAATCAAAGGTACATTTATTTTCTAGGAGAAGTAAGAATAGGCATTCTTTTATTTTCAGGACAATATTTTGTTCATGAAAACCAAAAGTCAATACAAAATATATAGGTGTATAAGAATACAAGATTTGTGTAAAACATAAGTTGGGTAGATCATGAAAAGAAATTCACAAAATATTAGATCAGAGGCTTATCAGACATGGACTTTAAAAAAGTACAATCTATAGATCCAGGAAATAAAAAGACAAAATTTTATCAGTAAGCAGAATAGAAAACTATAAAAGCAAACCAGATTGAAATTCTTAAGAGAGAAAAATACATGTCTAAAAGCAACAACTTAGTGGATGATATTAAGAGTACATTAGCTGTAGGAGAGATGAGAATGAACTGCAGGATGAGTTGGAGAAAACATCTGTACTAAAACTCAAATAGACCAAAAGGTGAAAAGATGGAGAAGAGCAAGAGCCCTGTAAAATGCAGGGAAAAGATTTAACCATGTAGTTGGAATTCCACAAAGAGGGCAAATGGAGAAGAATGATATGGAAAGCAAATTGATAAGGGTCAATAAATGGATATTGCCTATTTAAATAATGACAATAATCTCAGGGCTCACTTTGTGGCGTAGCAAGCTAAGCCTCAGCCTGTAAAACTGGCGTTGCAT